GCCAGGCGAAAGACTGGTTAGCAGGATCATCAACACATCAGCTGTAGAGCTGGTTCGCAGAAAATAAAATGCATTTTCGCAAATGTGTGTCGTCACCTGTATCGACAGTGCCGTTCACTGCTGCGCTGGCTCAGTGTGTCACAATAGACAGGCAAGTGGCAGTGGGATTTTCATTTGGCAAAGATTGCTTCGCTTCTTCCATCCATCCCTCATCGTCATGCTGACTGAAGCGGAAATCGACGACGCATTTCATCAGTTCACTCGGACCGACATTCCCCTCTGGAAGGACCTACGCGTGGGTGACCCTGAAAATGTGCCGGTTCCGGGGGAGCAGAATATTCTCATCACCAGTGCTCTGCCGTACGTCAACAACGTTCCACACTTAGGGAACATCGTTGGCTCGGTCCTCAGCGCCGATGTCTTCGCCCGTTACTGCCGTCTCAAGGGCTACAATGTGCTCTACATCTGCGGCACCGATGAGTACGGTACCGCCACGGAGAACAAAGCTCTGGAGGAGAAGCTGACGCCGAAGGAAATCTGTGACAAGTACCACCAAATTCACGCGGACATCTACACGTGGTTTAACATTTCATTTGATAAGTTTGGCCGAACGACGACAGACGTCCAGACGGAGATTGCACAAGATATCTTTTGGAAGATATACAATAACGGATACGTCACTGAGCAAGAGATTGAACAGTTGTTCTGCTTGCAGTGTGAAAAGTTTCTCGCCGATCGCTTCGTGGAGGGTGTTTGTCCGTACTGCGCCTATGAGGACGCACGTGGCGACCAGTGCGATAAGTGCGGCAAGCTGATCAACGCTGTCGAGTTGAAGAGTCCTCGGTGCAAAACCTGTCGCAATACGCCCGAGGTAAAGATCTCAAAGCACCTCTTTATTGATCTGCCGAAGATTCAACCGCAGCTAGAAAAGTGGATTTTCGGCGCACTGGAGAAGGAGGGCAACAACTGGTCACAGACGGCTAAGGTGATTACCCACTCGTGGATTAAGGGCGGCCTGCAGCCGCGCTGCATCACTCGTGACCTGAAGTGGGGCACCCCGGTGCCGCTTAAGGGATACGAGAACAAGGTCTTCTACGTCTGGTTCGATGCGCCCATCGGCTACCTCTCCATCACCGCCGGCTTCACGCCGCACTGGGAGAAGTGGTGGAAAAACCCTGACCACGTGGAGCTGTACAACTTTCTCGGAAAGGATAATGTGGCCTTTCACGCAGTCATCTTCCCCAGCACTGAGCTGAGCACCGGTGAGAACTGGACCATGGTCTCGCACATACCCGCCGTCGAGTACCTCAACTACGAGGACACCAAATTTTCGAAAAGCAGAGGTGTGGGCGTCTTTGGCGATCACGCCAAGGAGACGGGCATTCCATCGGACATTTGGCGCNTCCCAGCACTGAGCTGAGTACCGGTGAGAACTGGACCATGGTCTCGCACATACCCGCCGTCGAGTACCTCAACTACGAGGACACCAAGTTTTCGAAAAGCCGAGGTGTGGGCGTCTTTGGCGATCACGCCAAGGAGACGGGCATTCCATCGGACATTTGGCGCTTCTACCTGCTCTACATGCGCCCAGAGAACCAGGACACCACCTTCAGCTGGAGTGACTTGATGTACAAGAACAACTCGGAGCTGCTGAACAGCCTGGGCAACTTTGTCAACCGCTCGCTGGCCTTTCTCTCCAACAGCTTTGGCGGTGTCGTGCCCGAGCTTCAGCTGAATGAGACGGACAAAAACCTGCTGGTGCAGCTCAATCGAGAGCTCGCTTCGTACTTTGAGTACATGGACAAAGTCCAGCTGAAGGACGGACTGAAGCCAATTCTCTGGGGCATCAGTCGACTTGGAAACCAGTATATGCAAAACGAGAAGCCGTGGGTGCTCGTGAAGAACGAGGACACAAAGTACGTCATTTCCTGTTTTCTGTTTTCTATTGTTGTTACTCTAACCTTTTGTTCAGACCCCGAGCAGCGACTGTCATTGGTCTAGCGGCCAACATATCAGCCATGCTGTCCATCCTCTTGCAGCCGTACATGCCTGATACTTGCGTGCAGTTGCAAGAGCAAATGAACATCAAGTGTAATCAGGTACCCAGTAATCGAAAGTTTATCTGCATCCTCAAGACTGGCCACCAGATTGGAAAGGTTTGTATTCAATGCCCTATCTCTTTGTTCGCCGTCGAGATTGCTTATCTCACTGTTTTTGCTTTATCTACACACAGCCCCAGCCATTGTTTAAGAAACTTGATCCCAAGGAAGTGGAAGGCTTCCGTACAAAGTTTAGCGGCAGTAGCACTGATGCGACTGTCAAAGCGGCAGCTGATGAGGCAAAGTTGACTGAACTCGTGGAAAGTCTAGCGCTTAAGAATGAATTGGAAATTGCGCAACTGGTCACCGCTCAGGGTGATAAGGTGCGCCAGTTGAAGGCGGCAAAGGCGGACAAAGCGGTTATTGCTCAAGAGGTGAAAATTCTACTGGAGCTTAAAAAGTCGCAAACAGCGAAGGCTGCCGGTGCAAAGTAGCTCGTCCTTCCGTCCGCCTAGACAGACGTTTGCCGTCTTTTGCCCCCTTATTTGTTCCTCTTGATTTTTGTTTGTTCTTTCATGCAATACTAATTAATTGCCCCTTCCTTTGCTCTGGTTCTAAAAATAAGAAAAGTTGGTAACTGGGCAAGGTAAGGGAAATTGCAGTTAGCGCCGGCAGTAGACTGAACGTTGTTTACGATGAGGAATTCGCGCCACACATGTGTGCCCGTCATAGAGAGCGTTAGAGAGCAGCGCTCGCCGAGCGTGTTTTTGTCTCGCTCGCTCGACGCAATTCTACCTTCCACTGTAGAACCGCCATATTGCTTAGAACTGTGTGAGTGTGCTGGGAGCACACCATTCTCCCATCAAAATCGATTCTACTTCTGGATGGGCCTACCTCCTCCCAAATCGGCGATTACCCTTATTCACCCTCGTCTACTCCCCCGCCAGCGATGAATTGGTGCTAGAGGCCTCGTGTCCACCCCACCCGAAGCACCCCGAGTCCACGCTCGGACTCGCCCACATTGTGGTGTGGCGGTTGGTGGCGTGCGGGCGCGTGCTATCGTTCTTATCATCTACACTAGTGCGTGCGGTGTGTGTGCGTGTGAATGTGTTTGTGTACAGGCGGCCTGTCTCCTAGATAGCAGGCTGTCACGATGGCTGCCACCCAGCAAAAGCTATTCTTCAGGGCGAGGGCCCTGGACGTCAACAAGCCCATGCCAGTACTACGGACGGAAGATGTGCCAGATTTACCCGACTTCGCTGCCATCAACCGGGCGGTCCCGCAGATGCCCACCGGAATGGAAAAGGAGGAGGAATGTGTAAGTGCCATTTAGAAATTCTACTTTACCGGGCTGTTGTTTTGACTCTTTTTCGCTTTGTTTACCCTTTCAGGAACACCATCTTCAGAGGGCTATCTCCGCTCAACAAGCATTCGGCCGAGCTGTTGATCATGTCATCCCTACACCCGAAGTGTTTCTCATCCCTGACAATGAATACGATGAGCTGTACCCGGCGAATTGCAAGAGTCCTCGGAATTACATTCATATTCAGCTTCAGTCATTCGAGCAAGACTACCCTGAGTATGACATGGACTCTGAGGACGAAGAGTGGCTCAACAAGGAGAAACAAAAGCTGAACATCGACGAGACTCAGTTCGAGCAGATGATTGAGTGTCTAGAAAAGAGCGCGGGAATTAAAGTCAGCAACCTCAACGAAGCAAAGTCTCTTCTGAAAGGCGATGAAAGTGTAGTGATCTCCGTCTACGACTACTGGCTCAATAAAAAGTTACGCCTCGGGAAATCTCTCTTGCCAACTATTAAAACCGAGAAACGCGATGGATCTTCAGGCAACAACCCGTACATTGCCTTTAGGAGAAGAATCGAAAAGATGCAAACGCGAAAGAACCGCAAAAACGACGAAACATCATACGAGAAGATGTTGAAGCTAAAACGTGACTTTACAGCAGTTCGGTATGTTCGGCACGAGTGACATTAAACAGTGATTGCTAATTAGAAAACTATTTATGCAGTGATATGATGCAGTTGGTCAAACGCAGAGAGTCGCTGAAACTCGAGCATCTGAAGAACACTTTTGAAGTTGTTGAAAAAAGGTAAACAAACCACCACCTGTGAATGAATGTAAACAATGTCGATCCTAATCACCGGCGATTAATTGTCAGGTATCGGATGGGCGATTACAATGGCCAAATCTACGGCGAGATCATGGCGGCCAGACAAGCGCAGTTGGCTGCCAGTAATCATGCCCGAGAGAAGGCAAACCGAATCTCCAAGGTTGGTGACGTGACGATGTGCTATTCATATCCCTTTTCTCCAAAACAATTTCTGATTAATTTTTATTTTTCAGAATGACGAAAATGCTCAAGCGAAGAGGAAGCGAGACTACAAAAAGCGACCCAAACAGGAAGCTGCAGTACCGCAGAGAGCGCTTCGTGAGACCGGCGAGTTCAGCTCAGATGATGAAAATGCCAACGATATCGTCTTTCAAGGTGGTCAAATTGCGTCGGACGAAAGTGACGACAACCCTGATGGTCAGTTTGCGTTCAAGAGGAAGAAGGGCTGCAACTACCAGGCGCCTCTGGTCGACCGGTTCTACAGTTGGCCCTGGGACTCACCGGAAGAAGGTGGCTCTGGGAACCCCAATTTCAGGTTCAACTTCACCACACTATCTCGTCCCCCTATACCAATTGGTTTTGCGCGGAGAAGGATAGGACGTGGTGGAAGGTACGTGCCGATCATTCTGCTCATATGAACCTCTAGAGTGATTGTTCTTTCTTGCTAGAATTATTTTCGATCGAGCGCTTACTGAATTTAATGATGAAAACAGTGCTGAGAACATTGAAAATCAATGGTAATGCTCTTGCCAATATAGAAATTGCATCTCAATGTCTAATGTTTTGTTTCTAAAACACCAGGCTTCACTTCAGGCCAGTACCTTCTTCTGTGGATGATGAAACACTGAGGGTGTACCGCTTCAATGGGGAAGCCTTTTCTGACGATGACGTTCCGCCTGAAGCTATAAATCGGCAGAGTGAATCAACACTTGAACATCGTGTGTTTGACCACCACTTAAAACAGTTGTCAAGCCAGACAAATAGTGCTCTGTGCAATTCTCAACATTCCACAAGTGATAGCAACGCAAATTCATCGCCATCATCTTCATTTAAGCCACCAACACCGACATCAACAACATCCACATCCTCCTCCTCCTCCTCCTCATTATCATCATCCTCATCTGCAGCCGCTGCCGTCACCATCCTCTCGAGCAAGCCTGCCTCAACGCCTCAGAAAGAGTGTGAAAGCGGCGGATTTATGGTTGATATAAGCACGTCTCGTACTTTTTTAGAGTCTCTTCAAACCGATTTGAGTGACGCCCCGACGGTGAATAATGAAACCAAGCACGACTTCGACATGAGCCTCTTCAAGTCAGACGCGCTCTCTTCGATAGCTCGGCCAGCTGCTCCCCTCCTTAACCTTTGTGATATTTAGATGTCTCATCTTTCCTACGCTTACTTCCCGTACTTATTTCTTTTTACATACCCGGTTTGAGACACCGCCGTAATCAAGGGAAATGCTTAGTAGAGAACCACTCCTCCCCTCTTCCTCCTCATCCCCACTCCCCCGCCCACCTCAATTCAGTTCACTGTACAAACTACCCCCATCAGACGTCATTATCACCTTCTTGCCATTTGTTTACTGCGTACATACACTGACACACCTACACTACTTGTACAATTCATCTATTACCTGAAAAGAAATTCTATCTAGAAACAATTTTCAAATTATTAAAAAGATGCTGAACGAGGCTCTTTAAAACTCATAGTTGACGTTGAGCCTCGACACGGAGACCTCCTCTTCAAACTGCAGAAAGGAGGCGGTCGATCCAAAGTGACGCATCTGAATCGGTCTCATCTCATTCGACTGTTGTTCGGTTTTCCACTGCTTGATTGTTGATTTGCTGTCCCCAAACAAATGCATAATAAGTAACTGAAATGTTGAGCAAGTAATCAGACAATCCGGCACTCACCAAATGATGCTCATTGTGATGACCACAAAGAGGATAAATGCACATCCAATGGCGATCATGGCGTACATCCACACTGAATCCTGTTCTGTAGGTGGGATAGGATTAAGACATCATTTATCAATATTCCCTGTAATTTTACCTGGGTAGAACTTGGCCAGTTCAGTGGACAGAAATCTATTGGCTGGGCCTCGTGTTGAATTCATCGTCTTCATCACCTTCACCAGAGTGTCTGGCTTGAGCGGCGACTAAAATGCAACTGCCGCCTGTCAGGTGANCGGCTACTGAAATGCAACTGCCGCCTGTCAGGTGAAAGGGAAAAGAATCACTGAATCACTGCCGAATTGTTCCGGCAGATGTGTTGAGCAAATAGAGCAATCTCGTGGGAACTGTCAGTCAAATGATGGTTCAGCTCACGCGTTTGTTTCTATTGACATTGCAGGTCCTTTGGGTGCTCTTGACATTGCTACGCTAAACTTGAGTTTCCATTTTGTTTATCCACCTAAAAATGAGAGTCTTTGTTAGCGTTGAAAAAAGAACCGAAAAGAATTTTGCAAACAAAGTGAGGCGCCGGTTTACCATTGAATTTCAGTTCCGCTCAATTAGCACAGGTAAACAATTGGAGTAGTCTTCTTGAGTTCCATTTTCACACATTTTTCATTAAAGTGAAGGGGAAAGAATGAGGTTCTCAAATTGTGATGATTTAGAGAAGAGAGAAACATAGGCAAAGAAAAGTAGAAAATTCCCTCACTGTGAAATCAAAAATCAGTATCCGTGTCTGTGGAGAGGACGGGAGGCGGCGCCAAAATCACAGCGCCCTGTGATTGGCTGCTTTGAAGCCCCCCAAACTAACCGCCTGTCCGTTTGTTGGTGTCAATGGCACAGAGCAGCCGGTGAGTCAGTGGCGGTGATCTTTGGCCTTTTCACTTACCGTTCTCTTTGCATTCCTTTTCGCCAACTGATGTGCAAGTGGCGGTGACCGTGCTTCTACACAGCAACTGTTTTCAACCGAATCAACAAGATTTTTCAGTGTGTTTGTGTGTGGTGAACTTTGCCGAAAATGGACGAATCTTTGAACCCGATTTCCAGTCAAAACACCGACTTTGCAATTCCCTTTAACTCGACATCTGTGCTGGATGGAACAATGCCTGATCTGCTTGATTCAACGATTCCAAACAGTCAACATGGTATGTTTGTGTAGCTGATAAATAACATCACTAATTAACAACTTTGACTTTACAAATAGAACTGACTAAAAGTCACGCTGAACTGCAAGAGTTTATCCGAAATGAACAAGTGGTCGGTTTAATTGAAGAAGTGCTGGACAATATTGAAAGCAAGTTCATTGATGATCCAGTTACTTTACTACAAAGTCTAGTGCAAGACGAAGAAAGGAAAGAAAACATCGAAACAATTGCTTCTACTGAAGTCACTGCTTCTGATGATGAAATCACTGATCAACATGAGAAAAAGAACGAAAACATCGAATCAATTTCAGCTGCAGAAGTCATTACTGATGGCGATGAAAACAATGATCTTGATGAAAGTTATCTCTACGTCGACGAAAGCTTGAGCAAGTGCATGAAACGCCAGATGAACGAGTCCATCATGTCTGTTGGTGATCCAATGTTTACGGAAAGTAGAAAGCTGAAACATCAACAAAGTTTTCTGGAGTGCACTGGTTCTTCTAATGACACAGTAAGTATTTGTATATCAAGTATAGCTTTTACTAACTAATTTATTTTTAGCATTCAATGTCAATTTCAGCGGGCAATTATAGTCTGTCCAATCTAGTGGAAGACATGGAAAATAGAAGTCGCCAAAAGGAGCTTCAAAACTATGAGCAAACAATTGCTTTTCTCCAAGCAGAAAATATTGAATTTGAGAAAGAACGGGCCCAGCTGAAATCCAAGCTTGAAGCAGAACGGAAAGAAAAAGAAAGCGTTCAGCAAAAGCTGAGTTTTTTTGAAGAGAATCAGATGAGTTTGCAGAAGACAATCAATTCTTTGGAGGAAAGATATGAACATCTTAAAAAGGAAAGGATTAACCTTGAAGAAGCGCTTTCAATGGCTCAGAAAAATTGGCAACTAGAAGCAAAAGAAAGGCAATCTCTTTCTCGCAGTTATGAGCAGGCAGTTGCCCATCGTCAAATGGAAAAGCTTGAATCTGAAAAGGCACTTGCTCAATTGAACTCTAAGTTTGAAAATGAACAGAAAGACAAAGAAAGCGTACAGCAAAAGCTGAGTGCTTTTGAAGAGAATCAGATGAGTTTGCAAGAGACAATCAAATCTCTTCAGGAAAACCATGAACGTCTAAAAGAGGAAAAGATTCATCTTGAGACGGAACTTTCAAAGTCGAAAGAATATCTGCAATCAGAAACAAACGAAAAGCAAATTCTCTCTCGAAACTATGAGCAAACTATTGCCAATTTTCAAGCAGAAAAACTGGAGTTTGAAAAGGCACTAACCCAATTGGAATCCAAGCTGGAAGCCGAACAGAAAGACAAAGAAAGCGTACAGCAAAAGCTGAGTGTTTTTGAAGAGAATCAGATGAGTTTGCAGGAGACAATCAAATCTCTTCAGGAAAACCATGAACGTCTAAAAGAGGAAAAGATTAATCTTGAAGAAGCGCTTTCAAAGTCAAAAGATCATCTTCAGTCAGAAGCCAAAGAAAAGCAAACTTTGTCTCAAAATTATGAGCAAACAATTGCCCTTCACCAAGCGGAAAAGATTGAATTTGAGAAAGCACTGGCCCAGCTGGAATTCAAGCTTGAAGCTGAACGGAATGACAAAGTAAGCGAACAGCAAAAGCTGAGGGCTCTTGAAGAGAATCAGAAAAGTTTGCAGGTGACAATCAAATCTCTTCAGGAAAACCATGAACGTCTAAAAGAGGAAAAGGTTAACCTTGAAGTAGAGCTTTCAATGGCACAGAAAAATCTGCAAACAGAGGCAAATGAAAGGAAATCTCTTTCTCAAAGTTCTGAGCGAAAAGTTGCCAATCTTCAAGCGGAAAAACTGGAGTTTGAAAGGGCGCTAACCCAACTGGAATCTAAGCTGGAAGCTGTGCGGAAAGACAAAGAAAGCATACAGCAAAAGCTGAGTACTTTTGAAGAGAATCAGATGAGTTTGCAGGAGACAATCAAATCTCTTCAGGAAAACCATGAACGTCTAAAAGAGGAAAAGATTAATCTTGAAGAAGCGCTTTCAAAGTCAAAAGATCATCTTCAGTCAGAAGCCAAAGAAAAGCAAACTTTGTCTCAAAATTATGAGCAAACAATTGCCCTTCACCAAGCAGAAAAGATTGAATTTGAGAAAGCACTGGCCCAGCTGGAATTTAAGCTTGAAGCTGAACGGAATGACAAAGTAAGCAAACAGCAAATGCTGAGGGCTTTTGAAGAGAATCAGAAAAGTTTGCAGGAGACAATCAATTCTTTGGAGGAAAGATATGAACATCTTAAAAAGGAAAGGATTAACCTTGAAGAAGCGCTTTCAATGGCTCAGAAAAATTGGCAACTAGAAGCAAAAGAAAGGCAATCTCTTTCTCGCAGTTATGAGCAGGCAGTTGCCCATCGTCAAATGGAAAAGCTTGAATCTGAAAAGGCACTTGCTCAATTGAACTCTAAGTTTGAAAATGATAAACAAGAGCTTCTTGAAAAGCTCAAAGTATCTTTCCTTCAAACTTCTAAAATAGAGAAAGTTTTTGACGACAAGCAGCGTTCTTGTGAAAACTTGAGCGAGCAGCAGTCAAAGAAGATCATTGATTCAGTGAAAGCAAACCAAAGACTTATTGGCTCCATCAACAAACTTCTCGAAACGGTGAAAACGGACAAGCAGTTTGCCGAATCTGTCAAGTCAGATCAAGTCAGGAAAATACTGAGTACAATTCGTGAAAAGTAAGCATTTGCTATTTTTAACTCTACACTTTTACTAATGTTTTAAACTTATTACAGGATAAATAAAAACATTTCGGAGCTTGAAAAAGGACAACTTGGACTTCCTGGCCCATCTTCCTCTTCCTCAGGCATGGTGCTTTCCGTAAAGAACCCTCCACCGACTGCTCCCAAGCCAAAGATGCCAGCTTTGTCACTAAGAAATCCAACCGGTGGAAGTTACTCGGATAACAAAGAGAACGCTTAGGACTTGAGCATCATCCTCCATTCAATTTGTATTTTACCATTTTCTTCCTTTTCTTTATGTTTAAACACCACAATGCACAATCCAGTTTATCACCCTCGATTTTATATTACCTTAATGCACGTACTTGTAAAATATTTTATGCTTTGTAATCTGTAAAATACAAAATTCGCCTATATACTTGAATAGACAAAAAGCAGTGCGGGTGAGTAGTTGTCTGTTGAAGAGCACCGGCTGCGACAGGAGCGGCCGCAGGAAGTGCTCTGCCTGCTGATGCTTCAGAACGGTGGCGGGTGATGCAGCCACTGATCCGGAGAAGTAGTGCACCGAGTTGGGCCCTAAGAACAGGGATTGGATCCGCCGGCGATCGACTCCGAAAGTTCGAATTACTATTTAGACCCAGGCTGCTCAGTGCTGGCATTCCACGCTTGTTGCCGAATCGTCCACCACTACTTTGCCATTATTTCAGTCAGTTGCCTATTTTTCTTTGACTTATTGTTCTACTGACCAGTGGCTGGTCCTCAGAGCAGCATGCCCGGAACACCGTCCTCCTCCTCGGAGGATCTCCTCAATAACAATGGCAGCTCACATGAGAAGCAGACGAAGGCGGCGGCGTGCCCGCCGAGCAGCAGTGCCGCCAGCACGGACAACAATGTACGGCATTTGCCCTGAGGGCACCTTTGTTTTGTTATCTTCTGCAGACCATTTAAAAGGCACCACTTGTTGCAGCACCCGCTCGGCGCTCTCTCGGCTCCCCTCGCACTACCTGTCACCGTGCACCGTACACCGGTGCAGCGTGGCGGGTCGGCGCAGACGATGGGCCGATGGCGTGCACTGCCACCGTCGTCACCGCTGTCACCGTTGGCTCTTTAACTAACACTTCTGTATGTATTCTCTCTCTCTTCTTTCCCCCTTTACTCTGCAGGTGGACAAGTACGAGGAGCTGGCGATGATCGGCTCGGGAGCCTATGGAACGGTGTTCAAGGCGCGAGACCGCAACAATGACGGCCAGATGGTGGCGCTGAAGAAGGTGCGCGTTCCCCTAGTCGAAACCGGCGTTCCTATCAGTATTCTCAGAGAGGTTGCTCTGCTCCGGCAGCTGCAATCATTTGATCATCCAAATGTAGTCAAGTAGGCAACAGTTCCAAGAAATTGCCACCCCCATCAATTAACCCCCCTCTTTACGTTTTCATCTCCATCTGAAGACTACTGGACATTTGTCACGGTCATAGTTCGCAACAGGACAAGCAATTTATTTTATTTTTGGTTTTCGAGCACGTCGAACAAGATCTGTGCACCTACCTCCAGAACTGCCCTTCCCCTGGTCTGGGTCCTGAGATTATAAAGGCGAGTGAAGAGTGCTGCATGAGTGGATTTCAGTTGCGCAGACAACGGCGAAACAACGGAATCTGAACGAATGTGTCTGTTCTCTTTTTTTCTTCTTCGCAGGACTTGATGTTTCAAATACTGACCGGGGTGTACTTTCTGCACTCCAATCGAATCGTCCATCGAGATCTGAAGCCGGCGAACATTCTGGTGACCAGCACTGGCCGCATCAAGGTGGCCGACTTTGGCCTGGCCCGAATCTACGCGCAATCGGCAAAGTTCACCGCAGTGGTGGTCACCCTGTGGTACCGTGCTCCCGAGGTGCTGCTCCAGTCCAGCTACTGCAGTGCGGTGGACATCTGGGCGATTGGCTGCATCTTCGCCGAGCTGTACCGTCGAAAGCCGCTCTTCTGTGGACAGTCGGAGAATGACCAGCTCTTCAAGATCTTCGACACCATTGGCTCTCCGCTAAAGTCCGAGTGGCCGAGAGACTTGTCCGTTCCGTGGGAGAACTTTTCCAACTTTAAAAGACGCGACCTGAAAAGTATTATGAAGGACCTCTGCACCAATGGACAGGAGCTTTTTGAGGTAGTGCTGCTAAGACTGTAATTTCCCCTTTCCTTTTCTACAGCTTTTTATTTGTATTGCTTTCTAGAAAATGCTAACTTTCAACCCGGATAAGCGAATCAGCGCAAAGAAAGCCCTGGAACACGAATACTTCAAAGAGATGCGCCAGCAACAGGTACCTTGAATGTATCATTTCTTGAATTTTGTCTTTTTGCCTTAAAGGGAAACCTGGAGCTTGTAAAACTCTGACAATCATATTTTGTTGATAACTGCTGCTTGAAAACGGTAAACTCATAAATTGCATTTCAAGTAGTCATCCCAATGATCATCGTCACCTCGATGCTGTGTCGTGGACTACTGGCTACTGACAACAGTTTTTTCCTTTAAAATAAGAAATAATCACTAACTGCCCGAATCATTCTCACTCAATACTCCCCATCACTGCCCCCTGATTCCAAGTGTTTTCCAATCTGCGGTTTTTCTGTCATTTCTTCTTCCCTAAATAAATCACCACTTTTTGAATTTTCCGCTCATTTCTTTGCCGGGAAGTTTCTCGCCGGCGGTTGTTTATACTTTCTGGAAAGTAGTAGTCAGCTAACACAGCTGACTGTCAGCGTAAATCTCCGCCGCCGCCGCTGCAGCTGTTGATAGCTTTCACCCCGGTGACTACACCTCCTCCTTCTCATCTTTCTTCTGATTCCGATTCAGCCCGAAAAGATGTCCCTTCAAACGGCCAACTGGAACTACCTGGGCAATCAGTTTTACAAAAAGTTTGAAATATGTCAAATGCTCTGGAATGGCATCATAAACCTCGAGGACTATGTCATCGCCGCGGCGCCATACGGCGGACCAATCGGTAAGGAAATAACTTGGATGAAAAAAAATTGACTACCATATTGAATGTTGTTGCCTTTTCTTCATTTAGCTCTTATGAGCAAGGACAATGTGTCGCGAAAGCAGACCAAGACGACCATTTCGATATACTCGGCAATGGGCGACTTGCTCTCGGCTTTCACATCTCACGAGGATATTCTGCAAATCGGCTGGTCCGTGAAGGAGGACTTGGTGTGCATTCAGGCCAATGGATTCGTCAGCCTGTACGACCTCTCAGGAGCACAAATCAACACGGTGACACTTGACCAGGAGATTCGCGACGCCAAAGTAATCGAAGGGCGTATTTTCAACGGCCACTACGGCACCGGAATCGCCATTCTCACCACCTCTTTCACCTTTTACCTGTACAATAACATCTATGAGCTGAAGATCAGACGGCTCGCAGAATTGCCCTTCTTTCACACTGCACCACTGTGCTGGGACGTGATATCATCTGACAAGGACACCAAACTCATCGTTTCCAAGGAGGACAAAGAGGTGGCCATTCTCAAGTCGCTCGACGTCAGTTACCAGATCATCAATCATCTCAAGGAAGAGCTACCAGAGGCCATCACCATGATGAGTCTGTCCTTTGACTTTACGCACATTTGCTTCTTCACCGAATCTGGCCGGCTGATGTTGGCAAAGACGGAAAACAATGTCGCCAGTCACTACAGTGTATTTGAGACGGACTGCAAAAAAAAGTTAAAACAACTAGCCTGGTGCAGCAACGACGCCGTCGCCGTACACCTGGAGGACTTTATCTTCTTCGTCGATCTAAACAAGAACTGGTTAAAGTACCCCACTTACTCAACAGTGCAGCTGGTGCAGGAAATTGACTGCATTCGCGTGGTGGACAACCAGTGCCAGGAGATTATCAAGAAGGTGGAAAGTGTGGCGATTGAAATCTTCAAGATTGGCTCTTTCTCCAGCGGCGCCAATCTGCTGGAGGCAAATCGGCTGTTTGAGCTGCAGAACCACAGGGCGGACGACTACATTCGCCTGGTGCAGGACAAGAAGGAGATGCAACGGGCGGTGAACATGTGCCTGGAGGCGGCCGGGCACGAGTTTAACATTGCCACGCAGAAGATGCTGCTGCGAGCGGCGCTCTTCGGCAAGAGCTTCACCCATCAGATGGACCCGAAGTACTTTGTGGACATCTGCCAGAAGTTGAAGATCCTCAACGCCATTCGCCGACCGAGCGTCGGCATTCCATTGACCTTTTACCAGCTGGAGGTGCTCACCACGCACGGCTTGATTGATCGACTGATCGAGCGGCGGCACTTCCTTCTGGCGCTGCGCATTGCCGCCTTCCTAAAAATAGCCCCCGAAGAGGGCGACATTAAGATTCTGACGAAATGGGCATTCTTCAAAGTTCGACAGCAGGACATTAGCGAGGAGCAGATTGCCAACGACATTGCCAACAAGCTGCAGCACTACTCGGGCGTCTCGTACGCGGAAATTGCCAATCAGGCCATTGAGTATGGCCGTAAGAATCTCGCCATTCGCCTGCTTGACTTTGAGCTCAAGCCGACGGACCAAGTGCCGCTGCTGCTGAAGCTGAAGCAGTACCGAATTGCCCTGCAGCGGGCCATTGAAAGTGGCGACACCAATCTGATTCACGCAGTCATTCTCAAGCTTAAGGACATTCACTCGCCCATGGAGTTTATCATGTCGATTCGTGAATACCCCGTGGCGTATGCGCTCTACCAAAAGGTAAGAGGGAGAGGGAGAGATGGCAGAAAAACACCACACTTCAGCTTAGAGTGTCTGATGTAATCGAGTTTTTTATTTCGCATGCAGTACTGCAAGACAGAGGACAGGGAAAAGCTTCGGAATATCCTCGATCAGGAGGACGACTTTGTCGCCGAGGGGCTGTACTGTCTGGAGCAAAGTCTATCGTCGTCACAAAGCAGCAGCAGCACCTCTACACTGGCTGTCAATCAGGACAGCCGAAAGCACAAGCTCAGCATGGTCACTGCGGCGATGGATGTCTTCAAGAAGTCGAAGAATGAGTTTCTCTCGGTGCACTCTGAAGAGTACGTTCGCCTGTTGCGGTACCAGCAGAAAATGGAGGACCGCTTTCCCTCGAGGAAGTTCTTCGGCCTTTCAGTGCAGGACACCCTTAGTGCACTGCTTCAGCAGAAGGAGTACAAGCTGAGCGAAGAGCTGAAGAAGGAGTTTAAAGTGCCTGACAAGCGCTACTACTATCTCAAACTGATGACTTTGGCAGAAATTGGAGAGTGGCTGGAGATAGAGAAGCTATCGAAGGCCAAGAAGTCGCCCATTGGCTACGAGGTACGCTCATTAGCTGCAGTTATTAGCTGACGACGAAAAAACCCTTTACTTTTGCCACGTCAATTGGCAGTGACAGCTCTAACTAACGTGGCTTCTTTCTTTCCACTACTTTTGTACTTTTGTAGCCATTCGTGGATGTCTGCATTCAGCACCACAAGCCGTACGAGGCGCAGAAGTATTTGCCCAAAGTTCGGGATGAGAACAAAATTAAGTACTACGTAAAGACTGGGTAAGTAGGGGACAGGAGAGGAGGAGGAGGTGGTGGCAGCCTGTCTGTCTGCTACTTTCCCTCCCTCCATGCCAACTGATGGCTGATCCTTCAACACTAATTGAGTCATTTCCTCATTAGCAACTTGGAGGATGCGGCCAGGTTCGCCGCAGAGAAGAAGGACGCCGAGGCGCTGCAGTACATTCTCACCAAGTGCGGCCCGGCGAACCGAATGCTCGCCGACAAGGTACGCAGCATGATGACGCAGATTAAGTGATCTTTTTCTTCTTTTCTCCTTCCCCCCACGGGCGAGGCAGTCCTGTGCGCCCTCGTCCGGGTTGGGTTGGGGCTGAGCAGTTCCAAGCAGTGCCTAAAGAGCAATAAAGTGCTGCTGCATGATGCAGTAGTGGTGGTGGTGGTGGTGGTGGTCGGCCACTGCCGCCTCTGCCGTCGCCGCATCCATTAGACGCAATGAAATGAGACAGTGTCTCAGTTTTCGATTTGTCTGCTGCCGCATTGCCAGGCAGGCAGGAAGGCAGGCAGACACTGGCTGGCAGAGGCAGTCACTCTGTCTGATGGCATCAGTTGGCACTGGAGCCCCCGAACGCTCCACTCTTCCCTCTTCTGTGGCTTGCACTCTCGGCGTTGGTACGCACGCGTTCACCTACATAATCGCACTGGCGCCTAATTGCGTCTAGTGCCAGTGCCCGTCTCTCTCTCTCCTCCGAGCAAAGAAGAAGTGGCTGGCGTTGGGGGAAGAGAGCAAAGCAGAGCAGAGCAAGACGCGCGTTCCCTTTCTTCGAAACAATGTTTTTANTTGTGGCTTGCACTCTCGGCGTTGGTACGCACGCGTTCACCTACATAATCGCACTGGCGCCTAATTGTGTCTAGTGCCAGTGCCCGTCTCTCTCTCTCCTCCGAGCAAAGAAGAAGTGGCTGGCGTTGGGGGAAGAGAGCAGAGCAGAGCAGAGCAAGACGCGCGTTCCCTTTCTTCGAAACAATGTTTTTACTTTTTTGAGCCACTTGCTACATGCTAACTGTCCGTCTGTCTGGTTGTTTTGCTCAGAGTTGGCGGTGTTGGCAGTGGTCGGGGACAGGCCATCGTCTACGTTCTTCCCATTCGCGACTGCCTGTCCGCCACGAAGACAATGAAGTGGTGACGGCAGTCTCCTTCTCCATTGCCATTGCAGACAGTCTAGTCTGGCGGACGATTACGAAATTGGCTTGCTGCTGCTGCTGGCAGTGGTGGTGGTGGTGGTGGTGGTGGTTACATTCATTCTCTTTCCCCTTTCGCGAGCACCACTGTCTGTCTGTAGACCACTGGAAAAGTCAACTCAGCGCCGATAAGTGCAGATAGAGAGGCTGCCAGCGGGTAGTGCTGCTGCTGTTGTTGTCCTGGCCTGGCCATCAGCAGCAGCATCAAGCAAGCCATCACAGCCATCCAGCCAACCATCCCAGACAGACAAACCGACCGACGTGCTGTGCACTGTGTTTGTCGAACTTACGTGCGCTTGTTTGTCTTCCACTTGGACTTGCACTTTGATTTGTTGTTGTCGTCTGTTTAGTCTACTCAACTACTACTGCTCTGCTACTGCTGATGTTGCTGCTCCAGCAGCTTATCTGCAGTCAGCCGAAGCCAATTTACAGCAAATTAGAAATGGTCTCTCTCTCGCCCCTTTGCACTATCTGTGCCACTGGCCTCCAACAACAACAGTTAGTACAGACAGGCATGGTAGTAGCACTTTGGTAGTACCATCGGCGGACGCGCGCGCGTGAATGATGCAGGCAGAGTTTGTGCGAATCCTAAGACAAAGTCTCTCCGGTGCAAAGGTCGTAGACGGTAGAAGTCTGGTGCTGTCTGCGTGTGTGTGTAGACTATGTGGAATTTACCCATTGTCAGCGAGGGATGAAAGAAGAAGAAGAAGCGAAGGAGAGGCGACCAGCCGTACCCCTGCACCTGTGTTTGCGTGGGATCAACCTTGACCGCGCCGTGTCTGCCTAACGAGCCAATGAGCAGCGAACAACAGCTGCAGCAGAAGAGACAGGATGGCGAGACAACTAAATGGTGCTGGTGCTGGTGGTGGCAGAGCTGCAACTAAATTAGACGAATGTCGTCTGGGAGGCACAAACACACACACATTCACACACTGGCTGGGCAGACTACAATTCGCAAGAAGTCTCCGACTGGAAGCACCACCGACTGCCGACTTGGTCAAAAGAGTGCCTGTCTGCAGCAGTTAGACAAGGCGAGTGGCCAAAGAGAAGAGCAGAAAGGCTAAATGGTAGTGCTGTGGTGGTACTTTTCTTTCTCTGAATTCCCGAATGCTGATGCTCTCTGTGCCTGGGCTGCCTGAGTGCTGCCACTGTCTGTCTGTCTGACTGACTGTGTCTGTGTCTGTTGGCCTGTCTCGAGCAGCCAAAGAGGTGACGGACAGCGCGAGGAGTCCTCGCCGAGGACACCGTTGGTGGTGGTGGTGGCACTGGCTGCCATTGCTGCCGCTCTTATGAACCAGACTACTACAGACGGACAACATGACCATGTGCTGGAAGATAGGACGACAGCAGCAGCAGCAGTATTGCAGAGAGAAGGGCGCGACGCCCTGACAGAGTGCTGCTTCGCTGCTCTGTGCAGTCTGCACATCGATGGCTGCTGCTGGTTCAGTCGCTCTATTCCTCCGCTCCTTCACCACCACCAGTTTCAGTCGCTCTCTCGCTCATTTCATGCGCGCTGACTCGGTCGCAGGCTCATAGGTTTGTGTGAGTGTGTGTAAGTGTGTAACTTGCTATTGCTAGACGAGACAGACAGACTGTACAGACATCGTCTGGGGGGATTCAGAAGAAGCCAGTCACAGTCTGTGCAGCCTGGCCTCTCACCAATCGACGACGACGACGACGACGACCACGACGACGGCAGTGGCTGAGAGGGCAGAGACGACGGCGGAGAGGCGACGACGACTACACTAATTCACTTGAATATGCGCACTCTTCGAAGGAAAGTAGAATATCTTTGGTGGATACTTCACCAGACTGCTGCCGCTGCTGGTGTCGACACCAGCCGCACAGAAGCATAGAAACGCGATGATGAAGATAGCGATTTTCAGCGATGACGGCATGACACGGTGATGGGCACACTAGGAAACCTCGCTGTCCAGCCGAATCGAGTGCGCTCTCAGTTGCCCAGAGACGACCAGAAGAGCTATGCAGGAGAGTCGGAGAAAAGGTCGTCACCGAGGGTGTCTGTCTCGCAGTAGCAGCAGCACCACACAGTAGGATCGCGTTGCTCGGCGCTAAACAGATCAGCATGGCTGATTTTTGCAATGACCACAAAGACGATGCGGCACCGGGTCGGCAAGCTTGGAGGCACTCAGTGCCGTCAGTGGCTCCCATGCAGGCAACTGACTCATCGGCGGTCAGGTCCGGTTCCGGTACACTGTACAGTGGAGATGCCATCGAGACTCATTCTCTTTCTCCCTTTCTCTTTCTTACCCTGCCCCGCACACACTCTCTCGGTCGGTTTTCTCCCTTGCCGAACTGTACATGCTCAAGGCTGAGGACGTGTGAAGTGAGTCAGTGAGTGGCACTGTGTATGTGTGTGTGTATGGCACTCTTTGGCCAACTCTGGTGCTGACGTACTTCTCTGCCATCAGCAGCACCACCACTAGTGCCATCAGGAGAAAGAGCAGTCTAATTGTCTCTTTTTCTCCCTTTCTGTGACTGTCTGGAAGTGAATGAATGGGCAGACGGAGCGCGTACAGCAGTGCAATGCAGGGGTAGCAGACAACAACAAGGTCGCCGATTGGCTGCTGCTGCTCACTGAGAAGTGCGAAGTGCTCGGCGTCGGCACTGAGATTGCCATCAGACACTGAGATTCAGCAGCAGCCACCACCAGGTTCAGGGTGCTGATGAAATCATTGAGTGGAGGTTCTCGAGGTCAAATGGCGCCAGTGGTGCCAGTGCTGCAAGAGTCGTCGTAGACGTCCTCGTCGACGAGTAGTGGACATGCTGCAGACTCTCGTCCGCCTGGAGAACGGCAGCGACGGTGCGCTGTCCTCGGATACCTCCTCTCCTCCTCTCCTCTCTCTCTCACTCCTGGCCTGCCCTCTTCAGACGAAAGATCCCCCCTGTCGCGGATTGTCTGTCTGGATTCTCTCCCTGAGTGCTGTCTGTAGAGTGAGTGGCTGCAGCAGCAGTGCCGTCTACCTCTACTTCCTCGCTACCACAAACACGTCGGCGACGGCCTGTCTGCTGCCGTATACTGCTTCGGCTGCTGTTGCTGTTGAAACCCAGCGTCGCTTCGAAGAGAGAGAGAGAGAGAGAGAGAGAGAGAGAGAGAGAGAGAGAGAGAGGCTAAAGCTAGGCTGTGTTCGGTAGTCTCTTCAGTCTAGCTCGCCTGTCTGTTCTGTTCTGCCTCGCACATCGTGTTTGTACCTCGGATGTGCCGCCGCCGCAGCAGCAGCCGCCGACACAGCCGCAGCCGAAACAGCAGCAGCATCCACCGCCGTGATCACCACCATCTCCATCACCAACAGCAGCGGCGGCAGCCAAGAACAGAGTGAAAAACAGACAGTGCAAAGTGCTCGTCTCTTTCTTCGACTTCTTCTTCTTCTTCGTGTTTGCCAACGCGGTCCTCACAGATTTCCCGCGGACAAGACGCAGAAGAAGAAGTTAGAGTCAAATTCGAGGGCTGCAGCAGCCGTCGGCCTAGAGTTAGAAAGAAGAAGAAGTTTGAAGAATCACCACCCTTGCAGCTGCATTCCTTCCCATTGCCGCTTATCAGTCATCTAAAAATATTTTTTGTATCAAGAGATATATTCTACCAAAAAAGTAAAAACAACTACCCAAAAATCAAGAATTGCCTCGAGACGGAAGACACCGTCGACCGTCGTCGGTCTGTGGACGAGCGCCTGTCACCGCCGCTGTCGTCGTCGTGGTGGCCCTTATCAGCGTCGACAAGGCCGTAATCCTTTACGGCTCAAGCCTCATCTGTGATCATCTTCATCAATGTAGCACTTGTCTTTTCATTTCTCTCTTTCTTTTTCTTGTGGTGATCTCCTCTCATCCTGCTCTCTACTGGTGTTTCCAAAACACATAGCAATTCCATTTTCCCTCCGTCTCCTTCGTCATCATCTTTTCTTTTCTCCATCACCATTTCTTGTCGGAATCCATTCGTCTCACTTTCTGGTCTCGAACCCTTCTGTTCTCTCTCACTTCAAAGGATCATCATCATCAGCGGCAGCCACTGCAAAGCAAAGCAACCATCATCATTATCATTATCAT